GAAAGAGCTACCTACTGGAAAGCACCAAAGAGATTTTTGCCAAACGCCTACTTCGCTGTTTCGCTTCTCGGCGCTGACGTTCAATGCGCACAAGATACACTACCTACCTGAATGGTGTAGAGAAGTAGAGGGCCACAGGAATGCTGTTGTACATGGACCGCTCAACCTCATCAATATGCTGGACTTTTGGCGAGATACGAGCAAGAATGGAGATACAGAGGCAGTGCCCAAGTCCATAGCGTATCGCGCTATGAGTCCGCTATACGTCGATGAGCCATATCGAATATTGATGCAGCACGAGTCAGGCCCCGAAGGATGGAGAGCGGAAGTATGGGATAGTTTTGGAAAGCAAAGTATGAAGAGCACTATCGTAGAATAGGTGCATTCTTCTATAGGTTTGGCATTAAGGGTATAAGCTAAGTGACAGTCCAAACTATGATGCGGTCTAAATAAGAGCCTAAACACTCATTCCAACGTGGAACCGTAAAGTCGTTACTTCAGCATCGTACAGTCTTACATTCCTCCAGAACGGCTTGATTAAGCCCACTTACCCAGAACACTCATGAGCACAAGACCGCAAACGAGTGCGAACAGAGCACTGATGGTCCTGGCAGCACCTGCATTGAGCAGTTTTCCGTGCATCCAGTCCCTTGCCAACATCTCCACAAGTCCAACCCACGTCAAAATACCAGCGGACAGTGCATCGAGGGTTCCAATGGCGATGATGGTGCTAGGGTCGTTGCCGTTGAAGTGGTCTAGCGTTCCGATACCGATGGCCATGCCGATGGGCGTAATAAGCGCAAATATTCCACACATGAGGAGCTTCTGTGCTGTTCCAGCAGCAGCTTTGGGGAGCTCAGCGATGCAAGTTCCAAGAGCGATACCTTCGAACATTTGATGGAAGAGGATAACAATGAAGAGGGTGATGAAGAATCCATCGCTTGCGACGACAAGGGTGATACCGATGAGGATGGAGTGGAAGATGATACCCGCCTCCAGGTTCATTACATTGATCTTCTCTTCCATGGGAGTAGCCTCGCGCATCGGACCATGGGCATGAACAATTCCATGACTGCGATTGAAGTCATGAGTGGGCTCTGCCGAAGGGGAGCTGTTTCCGGATTTGTCTCCACTAGCTGCCACCTCGGTGCTGGGAGCAGTGTGTTTTCCCTGGCGCCACTGGACAAAGCGCGCACCAAGGTAGTCGACCAGGAAGGACAGCATCAACCCAGCCATGAAGATGGCAGCGGTTGTGGCTTCGTACTCCAGAACACCCAGACATTGGTTTGCGAACATGAGCTGGGCATGGGTGAAGAGATGGACGAAGGCTGTGGAGATGACGATACCGGTTCCAAACTGCTTGAGGACAACGAAGATGATGTTGTTTGCGCCAACGAGGTTGAATTTCCGGGTCAATACGGGTGTAAACACACCAAGTCCACTAGTAAAGAGAATGACGAAGAGCAGACCGACTCTTAGGGGGATGTTGTAGTCGCGCTGGGGAGCATCGCAGTTGACTTCGGATTCGCTTCCACCGACGCAGTGCTCAACACCGGCATGATCGTGGCAATGTCCTTTGCTTCCTGCTGGCTCGCTTTCAGCAGCTGACTCTTCTCCCGTATGCGAGGAGCCTTCTGTCGATTCTTCAGCCTCTGTCATGAGTAGGACATCTTCGCCGGCGTCGTCGACGCAGTATCTTCTCAAGTCAGCATCTCGTCAGACATCATGATGGATGGTACCTACGTGTCGGTTTGGTGCTTGTGACATTGCGTGTACTCTGCTTGGAATTCTTCTGTCGCAGTGGGCCCGACTACCTGGTATTCATCTGAGCCGAACATGCAATAGCTGTTGCAAGTTAGCGCCAAACTCTACCAGCCGAAGTTGACAACGGATACACATACAGAACAGTGTTATGGGGATGGCATGATGACACAGCCGTTATGGAGGGGGTTCCGGTAGTGAAGACGGTGGTAGTCGCGCCAGCTTGAGTAACAGTGACGGTGGGTGTTTGCGCAGCGGCAGAGCCCGCAAGCAGTAGGACTGCAGCAGAGAGGGTAGAGCGCATGGCTGAATGAATGTTCAGGGTCTACCGGATGTGTTTAACGAGCGAACCGAAGGGTGTAAAGCTGTTCAAGGTGATACCAGCTCAGGCCCTTGATATATCGACTTCGTTCAAGCTTTTCGTCGTGTCAGCGGAGTGGAACGCATGTACCGTGATGGGGCAAGGCAGCCCCCCACAAGGATGCCGCGAAGAATTCTTCGGTATCCATTTGTCTCTGGGCTTGCCGTTGCTTCACACTGAGCGCCACGGGCGGTCTTGGCATTGAGTACCCTGTTGGATGGTTTACCTTGGCATAAGTCTTGTCTCGGAGCAAACGTCGAATCAGAGGCCACACAAACCGAGTCTTTGCTTTTCGGTAGGCGGCTTCGCTACTGATGCAGTAGGTGGGTGGGATAGCGCAATTATTTAGGTGGCGGAGGTCTTGGCGAGGTATGTTGGGGATGCATCCGTAGTAGCCGTGACCTCCACGGCTAGGAGAATCTTCGGCGCATAGCACTAACACCAGGTCTGACAACTCCAACATTCCGATGAATCTACAAGCGTTGAGGTTAGTATCATTTTTCGTCGTTCAACCTTCAGAGCTTGCAATATGGCAGTCATCTGAATGTTTCCAGTAAGAATTGTTGAAGCTGCCTAAGAGTTGTACAGGGAAACAGGTTGCATAACTGCCAGCCCGGTTGGAGAACAGTGACTCGATAATCATCGTACTTCTACCTTTGGTTCACTCTCAACATGACATATCGCGTGGGAGGCCGCTTCGGAACAAAGCGACCACCCACATCAATGTCTTCGGCCTTCCCGAACGCAGGTAATCCTCCCGACAACATGTTCCTGGGTGGGAGAATTTCTCGCCATTGGGCGCCCATCATGGTACTTACATACCCATAAATCCACGTTCTGAGTGGAAAACATGTCGCCCAGGCCCCCATGCACCTCCATGCCAAGCTCAACCATTCGAATTGTACGTCAGGCCAAGGTATAGATCAGCCTCCAGATCCGTGTAGTGTAGCATTTGCATCTCCGGAAAGGTGATAGACCGGGAGTATACCGGTTGATGTACCTGCGGCTGCAGCCATGAGGCGTTTTTTCTTCACGTCTCGGCGGTCGAGGTTGCGGGGACGTCGGTACATGAGCACCGAGAGGAACAGTCCTCAGTGGTGAGATGTCATTCTGGTAGAATATAAAGAGGCCTGTAGCTCGTCTGCAAGTATCTCCATCAAGCATCCGGCAACCAGCTTCTCGGGACACTCACTGAACTCCAGTTCGCATATCAACTTCCAAGACCTCTTCAAAGTCTCTCAGATCAACCTCACAATGGCTGCTCGTGCCTCTGCTCTCATGCTCCTTGGAGCTTCCGCCGCCATGGCCGGACCCCTTGCCCTTCGCCAGGCTACCGTCACCGTCACCCACACCGCCGAGGCTGCTCCTGCTGCTACAGCTTGGGATGCCGGTGCTGTCCACCAGTTCCCCATCCACGCCTCTTGCAACGCTACCCAGCGTAGCATGATTCAGAAGGGTCTTGATGAGACCATGACCATCGTCAGCCATGCCCGCGACCACATCCTTCGCTTCGGCAACAACTCCGAGGTCTACACCAAGTACTTTGGCGACGCTCCCACTGGTGAGCCCCTTGGTTGGTTCACCAAGATTGCCGACGGCGACAAGTCTGGCATCCTCTTCCGCTGCGACAACATTGACGGCAACTGCGACCAAGAAGGTTGGGCCGGTCACTGGCGCGGCTCCAACGCGACTTCCGAGACTGTCATCTGCGACTTGTCCTACGAGATCCGCAGGCCTCTTTCCACCATGTGCATGCTCGGATACGACGTCGCCAATGGCGCCACCAACACTTTCTGGGCTTCCGACCTTCTTCACCGTGTTCTCCACCTCCCCCAAGTCGGTGAGGGTGTCGTCGAGCACTACAACGACGAGGAAGAGGAGAAGTACCCCGGAACTCTCGCTCTTGCCAAGAACAACGCTACCTACGCCGCGAGGAACAGCGACACTCTGCAGTACTTTGCTCTTGAGGCTTACGCCCATGACATCGTCGTTCCCGGTGTTGGCTGCCCTGGCACTTACACCCCTCTTGAGGAAGAGTCTTCCACTGTTGCCACCAGCACTGCTTCCGCCACCGCCTCTGCGTCTGCTGCTCCTGCCTCTGCATCCGCTGCAGCTACCTCCTCTGCCGCTGCTGCCCCCGCTGAGGCCTGCGAGCCTCACGATGACCACTGGCATTGCCCTCCCGGCGTTCCTGAGCCCACCTCTCCTCCTGCTTAAGCGTTTACGACATGATAGCCGCACATATGGCTACGAATAACGGACTTACTTGACTTTGTCATCGAGCTCCTACATGATTCATAGAAGATCGCGATAGACATTAATGATAATCCAATTTCATCATGATGTTAATTGGTATATGCTTGTGATTTGTGCGATCAGTTTATTGAGTCCGCCATGCTGTACAACTCCAATCATCCCCGATACCTAGGTAGGCCTGCTCCTGGTGAGCATGGCATCCTATGCAGTTCGGTTTCGTAGACTCAAAATCATGTCTTTCAGTCCACGCCGCGCGTAGATGATCAATTGTCACGCTGTGAACCAGACGATGTTAGTATTGGTGTGAGCTCGACGCGTTGTTGGGATGATGGAATGGGTGAGGAAGCAAGCCACCCCACATAACCCCACTTACGTCAATTACGTAGGGTCAAGCTCAGACCCGAAACTACGTCAACAGGTATTGACCCAGCAAGCACTCCTTAACACCCTTCTCTCGCTTCTTCAGGGTACAGTCACCGATATTATGGCAGAAGCATCGACTTCTTTGAGAAGGTGGTCACTTTTTCTTCGTCCGGTACTCATCCCAAACCTCGAGCATGAAAACTTCCATTATTATGTGCAGGGGCTGAAACGCCTAGCTGAATTAGATGGTGAAAATATCATGAAAGAAGATGTAGATGGGAAGATTGAGGAAGATGCGCAACGAATATGGAACGAATCTCGATTCGATCCGCGCAAAGTTGGGGAGGAGCAAGCACGCCAAAATACCTCGCAGTACCTCGAAGAAAACGAATTCCACTTCCGCGATGCGAAAGCTAATATCGAGATGTTTCTCAAAGGAAGGTTTCCTTGTGGTATTCGGGCTTGCGACAAGATCAAGCACCTCCGCGTCTACATCCGTTGTGAAGAATTCCTGAACTGGGCGGGCTGGGACGAAGAGGATGAGGATTGTGGAGATGCCGGAGCGCAAGAAACTGATGAGGATTTTCCATGGGAAGAGCGCGAGAACAATGTCTATGACGACAAGGTCTATCGCGTGGCCAAAGCCTTTTCGAGGATACCCTTCCCTTCGCGACCACACATCACCATGGTAATAGTGACTCCGTTTGGCCTCTACGGCGCCGAGGGTGTCGAGGAAGAGCGGGTCTTATTCAACTTCATCGAAGCGACACTCGAGACCTATCATGACCTCAAGAGTACTGGTGCGACAGTGACAGTCAGCACGATAGAAGCCGACGACGCCGAGGAAGAGCATGCATCGACGGCCTCCGCGCTAGACTTTGAAATCACATGGCTGTATGAGCTAGAAGAGCAAAAGTTTAAAGAAGTACGTTGGATTGTTGGCTGGTCTTCTTGCTACTATACTAACGTTGAGCAGAGATGGAATGCGCGGGAGTATCCCCGCTACGCTTATCCCAAGGAACCAGCACCACCCCACTATGCTACGTTACTAGCTCGCTCTCATGAGCTTCATGACCAGCGGTTAAGGGAGGGAGAAGACGAACTGCAGAGAAGAGTCGCAATATGGAGAAACACAGCGCCTGGCGACATGGACAAAGAACGTCGGCATCTCAACAAAATGGCTGGAACGGTCGGCACCGCTCTCTAGAGCGTTTCCTTCACGCATCTCTACGTCTATGATGACTTGGGCGATATGCATTCGAGAAATTGCTTAGGCCAGTACAGTAGCACTTTGCGCAATCATGTCGGTGTTTACCGTGATCTCTATAGTCATCAAAGGAATGACAAGTAAATTCCAGGCTTGTTGACCCGGGGGAAGCCTACCTACCTAGGTAGTCTAACTTTATGTTCGGCACAGAACATTTATGCATGCGACGTCATTTTAACAACCGAAATCTGCACTACTTTGTTGCAGCTGTAATAGTCGCTACGATTCTACGGTACATGCGACGATGGCTGGGCAGCTACCCAGATGCTCTCAGACTGCCGCCTCTCGCTATTGGACCCTGCTTCCGGCGCAAGTAGTCTTGGAGGCCAGCACAAGTTTCTTTGTGCCTTGAAACCCAACGAAGAATTACGGTGCGCCTTTGTCTTAGACTGTGGCCTGGGCTTGACCCGGGCTGCCCTGAAACCAAGACACGACTCCGCGACTTATCTTGACCTTCATCCTTTGAACTTTATCAACTCCATTTGTAGACACTTGCGTCGTCGAGAATACGTCTTCTCTTGTTACTTCCAAGGAACGATCATCGCGCAGGTGCAATGACGAGCTCACTCAAGAGAGGGCTGATCGACGACTGCGAAGATGATGTACTGGACGACCTAGGGGCTAAGAGGAATCGACTCAACAGGTAAGCTTTACAGATCGAGGAATAACGAGTTACTGACTATACACAGCGATCCAAACTCTCGAATTTTGAGAAATGGAACCGATGATATCAGGCAAATTGCTAGGAACCTCGAGAATGCTCTGGGAGGTGCTGCAGAATTGCGTCTCATGATCTACGAGTACCTATGCCACGAGGACGATGGTATTCACATACCGAATCTTGACCACGAATTCTTCCATGAGCACGATACAGGAGATGTAGTGAGTTTGGTGTTCTTTGAAGAGGACTATTGGCCTCTCCAACTCTGTCTGGTCGAGAAAGAGGAGATTGTTAAAGAACGGCTGGCAGCTTTGAGAGCGGTTTTCATATTTGACCCCAAGCTATGCGGTTCTCAAATGGCTCTGGAAATCACCGAGACCTTCTTCAAGACGAACGTATTCCACCTCCGCGATGCACGACATATGAGCGAATTTATCAACACACCTTTCCCGTGCGGATCTATTCCCAGAGATCATGTCCGGAACATCGTCGTGTACGTACGATTCGAGGACTTCCTCGAAGAAGCTGGTTGGAACGTGCGTACATATGATGAAGAGCCCCAGGTACCACCCCCACATTTCGTCTGGAGGGAACACGGTGTATACAACAAGTTCCGCCGCGACATTGCTTTCATCCGGCAAATTTCGTTTGCCAAAAGCCCAAAAGTCACTTTAGTTATGGTCACACCATTCAGTCGATGGGACGCGAAAGATCTTGACGAGGAGCGTATCACGCTTAATTTTCTGGAGGTCATATTGCCGACCTACAGACATCTGAAGAATAGCGGATCAGAGACGAAGGTCATATCTAAAGAGATTGACTCACTGAATGAAGAATTTTGGTACCACCGCGAGGAAGAAGACGTCACTTGGCAAGCCGAGATCGCTGCCGAAATTTTTGCTCAGGTAAACGCAGTCAACTCCATTTGTTCAGTGCTATACTCACGTCTTCATAGGCTCCAGTCGCCAACTATGTCTATCCCGGTAGTGAGGAAAAGACGCCGCAGCGCATCCGCTTGGAAGAATATGTGAAGGAAGCTGCTGCACAACGCACAGGCTAGTGGTAGCCTACGATATGAGGCAAAGAGGGTCTTGAGACAGTGGCGACAACAATGAAAGCGAGAGAAGCCTGGGCGTTCGCAGATGGGTGAATTGACTAGGGCCACGAAGTGAACGTCTGCGTGGACATTCCTCACTCATATAAATTTGCGGGCTCATTGCTCATTCCCCAATACCTCTCATCCATTGCGCTCCCTCAACTGGATTCAAATTTCAACCCAACCAAGATGCAGCACCACGGAACCCAAGCAAAGCTTACTTCACCTCTGGACGCAGATATGTCTCCTTCGACCAACATGGAAGCATTGTCTGGTTTACCAGAGGAGCTGCTCGATGATATCACGGGATATATGACAAAACCAAGCGACCTCGCTCATATTTCCCTCGCGTCGCACCAGCTGCGACGTATCGCGAACGAAAAGCTCTACACAAACCTTACCCTCAACGAGCGTTACTCGGGAAGCTACCACTGCGCGGTCGAACAAGTCTTCTCCTTTGCGCTCGCACTTCTTCACCGGCCTGAACTAGCGTCTAGCGTTCGCAAGCTCTCGATGAGTCTTATAAGAGGGCAGTCAACCTCGCCTCCCAAATGGTCATCTGACGACATCGCTAAAGCACTACGAGTGATCGACGACATGGGTACTAAAGGCACTGGTTGGGCCATCCGTGTGCCAGACTGGAAAGCGCGCTTACTTTCTGGCGACGGCAAAGCTTGTGGTGGTCTCATTCTCGCTTTACTTCCAAATCTGGTCGAGCTGGAGATAGAGATCCTTTCCACTATGCCTGACTTTCGTGTAGCGGACGACGATGTGGAGTATAACGAACGCATTGTATGGTCCCATCAGCGTTACGCAGAGGATCCTCTCGACAAACTCTTTGGAAAGCCTGGGTACTATCTCTTGGAATTTCTAAAACTCAAACGCACCGATCCGATCATGTCCTCTCGGATGAAAGGATTCCTCAACGCAAGAATTAGGAACCTTGTCAACAGACCAGCTTTGGATTTATCCCAGATCTGTGGCCTCAAGAAACTCGAAACTTTGCGGTTCTTCGGCAGCCATCTTGACAAGAATTGGTGTACTCTGCCGAAGCTGCAGTGCTTAGAGGTCGCGCGAGAATGCAGGGTCCCCGCTTCATTCGTCGCTCCTGCTGTTGATACTCTTCAACTTGAGCTCCCCAGCTGTGTAGCAAAGGAAGTTGATCACAACGGAGCGCTTCATGCCGGTTTTCTTTCGGCCACATCGTTCCCACGGTTGGAACATCTCTCCATCCAGCTCACCAACTTCCACTCGTCTGGCGGCTTCTCTATTGTCAAGCCTATCCTTAAAGACTCCAAGCGTGCAAAGAGTAATAGGATGATGTACTACCTTTCCCGGGTTGCGCCTAGCCTCAAGACCCTCTCAGTGAGTGCGTACGATAGCTTCGACCAAGAGTTCTTGAAGTGGATGGGGCCGATCCCCACCTTTGCTTTCTTCAAGCAGCTGGAAACCCTTACTATACCACAAGTTCTTCTTCTTGGCGATGGTTTTCCGAATCCTTGCAAGCTTCTTCCTGCTAGTATCCAGGTGATTGAGCTTCTTCACCCAAGCGTCAAGGCCTTTGCTTGGCTCGACGCGCTCAACAAAGCTCACCACTTCTTCCAGGACCTGAAAGCTGTGTATCTGATCTTTGAAGACGCCCAAGACGACCAGTGCGTCACGATGTACGAAAAATACAGCGATTGGATGGTGGGTCGCGAGATGCACTACGAAGTGATCCTGCAATGTCCTCCTGCCGAGCGCGCGATATGCGACACAGTACCGGACGAGGAAGACCCACGAGCTTATCGAATATGGGCACGCGCTGATGAGCGGGTAGTACCATCTTTTGACGATGAAGAAGCCTTTCCAACACTTGTGTCATTCACCAATGACTCAGAAGCAACCCAGAGACGGCAAGCTAGCCACACTCTCCGCATCTCATACGCCTCATACGCAAAGGACTGGTATCAAAGTATACGTATCGCGACTCCGAGGACCTCCAAACAAGTAGATAATGACTCGACCGTTTGAGGACTTCACTATTGGCGTGCGTTCTCGCAGCGGCGGTGTTACTATCATCAGTGGGCACTGCTAGGCGGAGGAAATGCAAAAGATTTATTACAAGATGCCAAAAAACAAACAATGCGGCGAATGAGGTATACTAGAAAATGAATGCCAGTGTCATTCACCAAGTGCTTGTGATAGCTTCCATACGTGACCTCAAACTGTTTGGCCCAAGTGACCCTCTTCTGCAACATCGTCACCCAGCTTAGGAGTTTGTGGTTCTTCTTGGGAGATAACGGGTGCCCGAATCTGTCCATGCTCATCCAGGTATGACGCATCGTCCCTCAGGAGCAGAATCGCATTTGGCTGAACCTTCCATGCTTCCTTTGGGTTGAGAATGAAGTCGATGGTATCGGTCGTGCAATGATTGCCGGTGTCTGTTTTCAGGTAGTGCCAGGCCTGCGGGCCGGGTGCCTCGCGGTTCGGAGTCTCAAGGCAGAACCTTATCTAAGGCACGCTAAACATCAGTACACTACTCGTCGGCACCACAGTCGTCTTTCGAGTGACTCACCCCACGGGTGTTGCTCGGTGGGAGCTGTTGTCTGTACATAACCCACTCCGCCATCCCAGTACCCAGTCCGTAGTGGCTGAGGACAAGGTCGACAGCGAAATAGAGGCTAAAGGCGCCGAGGATCATGACAGAGAACGCACACCAAAGACAGCAGAAAGCCGCTGCTCCTTTAAAAGCTGATCTGCTTTCGGAGAATGAGTATGATCCAGACGAGGTGTTAGCTCCATCCACTTCGCCCCAGAAGCCTAGTCTTGACTCTTCATCATCGTCGTCATCGGTGGGAGGATGGAGGAGTTGATGCGCGTTGGTACCATAGCTGTTGTCATTGGAAAAAACACCGGTATCTGTCGCTTCTTGAACAGCTGCAGATTCACGGAAGTATGCGAGCAATGAGACATGCGGCAAGGCGACATCGGCGTCTGTGTTCGAATTCGACATTCCGGTTACGTTCGATATGGTGAAACCGATGCAAGAGATGCGTGTATATAATGTGTGATTCCAAAAAGAGACCAAAATCGATGGATGCAGCAGTGCCAATTGCAGTTCTCCGGGTTTTCGCGCGGGTCGATGATGGGAAGAAGTACAAGAGAAAGACATGACAAGGATAGAACTCTTAGCTTCGCACAGCCGTCGCATACGGCGAGAAAGTGCGCTCGGTGATCTAAAAAGGTATGTGGAAGGTATCGGCACCGTAAGGTCGGTGGCGGTGGAGTGATTGCCGCATATAGTAGGAGATGGGGATATCGCGCGTGGACGAACAAGGAGGAGGAAGTCGCGAAGGAATGTCACTAAGTGAAGTCCATAAACTAAAGAAAAAGACTGTATGCAATATTGTAAGACATGGCGAAAAGGCTCAACTGAGTATCACAGCAGGAAAACCCGTTACGCTCGAGAGCCGAAAGGAAGAGCTGGTTGACTTGATCCCGCGTTACCAGTACTACTGGCTGTTGACGAGAAGCTTGCGAATCCACCCGAAGCACGTGGAGGAAGGCTTCCGAACAAGCTTCCTGTGGCTGGAGTACTAGAGGTAGTTGCACCTGGCGTATGAGCGTAAGAGGCAAACCCAGTGGTTGTCACAGGAGCGTTGGAAGAAGCGGAAATCGCGTTGGAACCGGAGGTGGGCGGACCAGCGGTAATAACCAGATGAGAAGCCGTGTGAGCGGCACCTGCAGACGAGACAAACTTCTGAGGGCTTGCAGATTCCATCTTCCTGGGCCAGGATTTGAGAAGCAGAAAAGCCAACTCATCGATGGTGTCTAGCTTGGATTCCAGCCCGGGCAACTCGGTGATGTCCACCTTAAAATATGTCCGGAAAGCCTGCACTATCTCGTCTCGAAGACCGCGGTTGGTCTCTGGGGTGTTGCTATACGTGAGCTGTACTGCGGCGATGAAGTCTTCCGAATCAACGTGGTGATCCAGGCTCTCGCGAAACTTGGTCTTTGCAAGTCGGCTAAGCCCCTTCACCTGATATTTATCAGCGAGCGCATACATGCTCGCGTGTATTGTAAGCGGACTAGTGATTTCGATGCTGTTGTCGGGCTTTCGGTGGCTGACGTATTGGGACGCTTTCTTCTGCTGCTCTACTTGCAATTCCGCCTGCTCGATATTCTTGAGGTTCAACGCGAGGCAAGCGCATTGATCATGAGGCTGAGAGCTTCCCCATACATCTCTGCGGAGGTGGTGAGCGGGCGCCGCTGCTGTGTTGAGGTCATATTGCTTGAGTTGTTCGAACGCGGCGATGCCAATGTCGTCGGTGGGATCGTAGTCACCCAGATACAGGTAAGCGATTAAGCGTCGGATCATGTCTGGATCATCGTCCGGCAGATCGATACGTCGTTCATCAGCTTCCTGTCCAATGTCAATACGGGAGGTTGGCGCGAAACGCTGCGGATTGACCTTTCCAGCGAATTTGATATTATTCGCGAAGAACTCGCATGCTGAGCCAACCACAACGGAATGCACATCGAATGTCGAGTTGCCGCAGCTGATAACTAAGTCGGTGAAGTCACCATTCTTGTAAGCCCTGAACTATGTCAGAGGCGGATACGGATGCTGCCGTGGGCGCGTAAGTGTGGTGCGGAGAACTTACCTGAGGATGTGAGGCGGACAACTGAAAGGCATTTTACACATCGGTGAGCTTGAATTCGAGGTTCTCGAGGGAGGAGCGACGCGTTGGACGCGTCCATCGTGAGATTACGCCGACGCGACGCATGGGCACGAATGTGGCTCGCCAGCAGCCCCTTCTTGAACAGATAAGCGATAGATGTGCTCTCCAGACTTTACCACATGCAGCAGTGCTGCGCAGGGAGCGAAATACTGCATTACTAATGACGCAACGTGAAGCTGTTCGGGTCCGGAGAATTAATGCATGCAGGTGTCAGCGCGAACCACGCTAGCGCTAGGGCGTCGTCGGGTCCCCAAGACCAACACCGTCTTATATCATACTCTTCCCCGCCGGTTAGATAGCGAATCTTTTCTGCGTTCCCGACAGAAACTCTCAGCCTACCCAAGAGGCATTCACGACCTTTCCGCACGATGACGCCGTCGACAAAACCGGAGCCTGGATGACCCCTGCCCATTATCACGGATGCGCATAATCAACATCTCGACTCTGACAACCTCCCGGCCATCTGGTGTACTGATCTATTAGTCTTCATGTCTTCTATGTATCTATCGCCGGTCGGTCCCTTTTCTATCATCCCGACAAGGCCGGGAACGCCAGACTAGCATCTTCCGAGGACACATCTTCCAACCTCTTCATGGCTTCTACAGATAGGCCTGAGAGGCGCAACTGTTCAAGCCTGTCTGGCAGTATCTCCCCAATTCTCTTCCTCGACACCAGGCCACGCTCCAAAACTCCTTCAATGGGTATTTGAAGGTGCTTCATTTGGTTGAAGTGGGCCAGGCTTGTTACCGGCTCCAGGTACTTGAAGCAATGCGGATCTGTGCCGGCTTTCTTGATGCACAGCACTTCTAGTGTCTGCGATACTGCAGCCATAGTTTCGATGAGGATTTCCATGCTTCCCCGCGCATCATTCCCAAGAATATCAGCCTCGATCTGATTTGGCCCTGGAGCTAAGCACTTGTTGCTGATGTTGATGGTGAGCGATCGCAGGCAGGGCATTCGCTGAAAGAGTTTGGGTAGATCTTTGTATCTCCGGTCGTCGTTAAGAAAGACCTCGGTGGTCAGATTCAGCACCAGTTCTTCAACCCTGGAGACACCTGCTGATGCAGTATCCCAATCGACGCTACAGTGAAGGCCAAGGGTGACAGCCCTCAGGCAAGACAACGCCAGCCAATCCCAGCTGATATGACGAGCATGCAGATGCAGCTTCCGGGGCGCCTTCAATCCTGGGTTCATGGCGATATCGAGGGGGTGTGACCCAGCCTTGACTGGAAGCCTGCACTGTACGCTACATGCATGGCCATAACGACCGCTGTCGAGCTCATGCAGGCTACCGTTGGAGATGATTTGCAGATCGAGCTCTTTCAAGTTCGGGAGAGAAGCAAGGAGGAGTGCCGCAATCTGTGTCTCGCCCATATACACGCGTGTGTGCTGGAAGAAGCCCTGGAGTACTGGATTGCCAGCCGCGGACAATGTGGTGAATGGGATCTCGACAAGATGGATGATGGGCCGCAGCGTGAGTTGGGCTACTGCGCGTGCTAGGTCAGGACGACTGAAGAGGGTGTGAGCCAGTCGGGCAATTTGTCGCGGCATGGCATTGTCGGTGTAAGAGATCGTGGGGTATCCATGGAGTGCCTCCTGCGCCATGGAGCCGATATGTCTGGCAGCCAAGCTGAGGTTATGAAGAACGACTTCGGGGACTTGGGCGACGACCTGGAGGAGGAGCTCGTCGGGGAGCCTCTTCAACGGAAACGAGTCAGCGACGGCCGCTTCATCTACACACAAATCTGTTAGCTTCGGAGTCCCCTCTGGAGCATTCATTACGATTGACGGTGGGTTGAGGTTATCGGTCATGGCTGAGGTTGGTCAAGCAGGCAAGGTTCTCACAAGAGATGGAGATGGTATCGTGCCTGTGAAGAGTGCAGCGTTGGATGCAAGGATTCGCAAAGTAGAAGGGCGCGATGAGCAATGAACGATGAGCGACATTGTACGCAAACGCCGCGTCGACTCCGATACCGCAAACGCACACCTCACTGCCAACATGATCATCGTCGCATGCCCCTCTCGGTACACACGTGGTCTAAGACTCGAGGCTTACCGACCGAACATATCGTCACCTTACGACTATATGTTGCATGGCAAAGAGAGGCGACGATAATGGAATTTCGCGATACTCGGAGGGTGCGATTCTTACCACGCTCATGCCGACTACCATTTCGAGTACTTCCCACATTTCTTTGACAGCTAGGCACTACCACCATTGATCTCATCTTCGTATATTTCTCGAAAGCAGAGCGCCTCCTTACTGCGCTCGTCATCCCCGAAATGACCGCATGTCAGCGAATCTGCCGCTTCCACTTTCCAGCATCACTTCGGTTTCCAGGATGACCAGCGTCACTCCTAGCGACGGTAGCCTAATGGCGATGATAGTTGTAGTAACCCATCCTTCCCCGTATCGCAATCATCGGCAAGAGTGTACATAAGTCAGCAAAAACAAGACACAGTGAACTCACACATGCCATAGACTATTCTACGGTCCCTTGTCTCAGTGAAACGCGATATCTGCGTGTCATAGTTGACATGTCGAGATCCCATACACCGCAGAACCTTCCAGCTCACAAGCATTCATGATGTACCCGCAGAACATTCGAGAAAAGAACCAAAGTCTAACGCGCAAATAAGACACCCATACCCACCATCAAGATTCTCGCAAAACCGACCAAATCCATGCACCGACCCCCGTCTTCTCACCACCAAGCAATCCACCACCGTGATCCGGACAAACACATCGCACAAACACTATAAAACTCTATCGCGCCTCTGATTTCAAAGCCCCAAGATCCGTAAGCAATGTAGATCCGTCCCCACCCCTCTACAGGCAACATCGGAGGAGGAGGAACGGACCGAAAACGTTTTGTAGATCTCTTGGTATGGCTTGTATACATATCCCGGGAAAGGGAAGAAGTGAGCGAAACACCTCACGTGTAAGCCGCGTGGTGGCTGATCAGCGCGATCTTCGGCTCTTGTGTAGACCATGTTGCGGGCTGTAGCAAAGGCTATTCCTTTGACAGTTTCTATCTTTATCGTGTAGAGCACGGCCGCGGCGATTGGCAACTCCGTGTTGATGGAAATAGCAGTGTCGCAAACGCTATCGGCATGGTAAAACTGGTAAGACAAGATAACGTAGCTTTGTGGTGTTTGCCCCTTGGGAGCACCTAGACATTGGGTATTAATACACAGTGATATGACTGATCTTAAGATCGGGGTAGACCAGATGTTACAATGGATGTATTCATGATGATGAAACTATGGAGAGAAAAATACAAGATCGCTCATTGGTATCGCTAAAAGTACTACAAAAGTTCTCGAGAAAGAAAGAAACAGACTGCCAATGAGCAGAGTCATTGGGCCATTGGCTCAAGCACACCGGGTGTGACGTTGAACTGCGCGGATGCGCGGCTCGATAAGCTTGGTAAGACATGCTGACCCCGCATCACGTCGACGGTTGACTGCAGCACTGTCGTGAAACACGTTGTCTTAGCCAAGACAGACGTTTTGTGTGGCGGCTGCGTACCACCCGCAGGATGATCCCGGTCTTGGACGCGCGTAGGATTCTACACAGATAGATGACGAGATTCAACATAGAGTTGAGTCGTATGCTTGCAGCTGCGATGCAGACACCGGTGCACACTGCGGGGCAGCGATGATTGGCTCGATGCGGGAACGACTGTGACGGAATTCCCTTCAGGAAGAGACAGGAAGTCCGCTCGCCATACGGAAGAGTTCGAAAGCAAGGCCTGGTGTTTCTCGCACGGCCATCTCCACGTCCGTTCGCAGCGACAGGCTGGGATTGGCACGGAAGGTCTGGATGATGACGTCTCGCAGACCACGGTCAGTGTGGTAGGTAGACTCGTACGCCTCTTGACAGGCCTCTGGGAAGTCGGCACTGCTAAGGTGCAGGTCAACCTCCTCTGCAAATTTGCTACGCGCAAGCGCTTTCAAGCCTGCAATGCCGTACCTGCCATAAACCGTTAGCAAGCAAGTTCCAAAGTAGGTGTGATGAAAGACGGGTGCATGATTGGAGAGATAGTAGTAGCACGCTGACGCGGACTGTTTCGAAGATGCAGCCATGAAGGCCCAAGGACCATAGTAGGTAATTGGCGCATCTTGAAATCGTACACAAGAAAAACAGACGAAAGGGCTGTGTATGCAAAGGTACAGTGGGGTGTGCAGCGCGGGGTGCGATTGGCGAGGTAGAGTGCCGGTGACGCATATGGCGGAGTTTGTCGGCGTTTCAACCGCCGTGCCACGCGCTGCACACCCCAGTCATGGGAGGTAGAGCTGCAAGCGCAGATGAAGCAACCCCGCAAATCGCGGCGCGCATTCAGGCAAAACGTAGAAAAGTAAACAATGACGAGAGAATGGTAGTACTTACTTCTCAGCAATGGCGTAGACCTTGGCATGTGTGATGAGATGTGTCGTCTCAATGTCGAACTCGGTCTCTGATTGCTCGCTTTCCAAATCATCATCCTCGAAGAACTGATCGGCCATCGGCGTGTCGGGCAGCTTAGAGGATGCATCGATGCTTTGAAACATGGGCTCGTCGGCGGGAGGAGTCAGCGGCATTGAGTTGTTGGTTGCTGCCATAAGTGCAAGGAGCGGGTCTTCGACTTGGACCAGGTTCAGCTTCTTTGGGGGGCTTCTCCTCTTGGTAATCGATGATCGTAGAGAGGTAGGTCGGTTCGATCGTTGTGAGGATCGGCGCGAGAGTGACTTCTTGGTGAGGTAGTCCATGTGGTAGAAGTCTAGAAAGATTTAGCACAGTCTAGGGTCCCATCGCCTCATGCAATACGTACAGTGCACCATGTGGTCAACAGCTTCTGCGTCATCTTCGCTCAGGTCAACCACTCCGGTTTCTGCTTCCCTGAAGCCATTGCGGCAGGCTCCCTCGAAAAAAGTAGATCTTGTTGCGAGGAGTATACGGTGTACTGGGTATCTTTTGGCACCACAAACGATGGTCAGATCTGAGTATTGTCCGCATGCAAACAGTCTAACAGACTTAGCTGGGTTGGGGGGACAGAAGGATGTAACTTACGAGGCCAGAGCCGACTTGAGCTCGATCATTGGTGCGTCCATTGTGTGGAGGTGTTGTGTGAGAGTCAAGGTAAGAGTGTAAGGAGGTTCTTGCTGATACTCGAAAGGTTTGGTGGGCGGAGGAAGGCTTCTTGAGGCAGATGCTCGTAGGACCCTGCCGTTAAAAACAAAAGGACAACGGCCACAGGTGTGACGATTTCGTCCTTACGCAAGAACGCGTAGGGGTACGTAGGGTTCGGGCGCTGATCACGGAGGCGCCGCGCGAATCCGAGAGACTGGATAGGCTGAGTCAAGGGTACCGAGATCGCCGGAAACAGGCAATTTTATGCTGTTGGCGATTCAGATGATTGTATGTATGGCGAGATTGCTGATTGCTTAATGCTTGTATAGAGTGTAGTTGCGTATTGCAGATCGAGGTGAAAGCGGAGTGTAAGGCAAGAAGGGAGGGCTACTGGCGCTCTTGTAGGCATGCAGCCGTCTCCAGCCATGGCACGCTGGCGTCAGTCCTGGACGGCGCATTCAAATTCAGTGACATGGGCGGTTGCATGGACCGCATCTAGGCAAGTCACAGGGTATCCCCTCGCTCGCAGGCATCGCAAGATTTGAGCTGACACGCATCGCTTCGTCCAGAGAATTCAGTGGCTTGGCGCAAGTGTAGCGCGGGCTGGGCTAGAACAAACAGGGCGGTCTTCTGCAAGCGCATCGTGGAAAGGCAGGGTAAGCAATGTCACGCGAAGAGCTAAGGCTCTAGTGGCTGCAGCACAATGCCGAACGCGAGCCATGGTGGATGCGAGGCGCAGGGCATGTCAACTAAGCGGCAAAGCAGAGCAGCTAGAGTCAACTGACCAGGGAAGTCCGGGAGACGAGGGAAATCATTTGCCCTGCGCATGAAAGGCTACCGTTGGTACTGACGGACTCCAGACGGTCGGCGAAACGCGAAGGCCGCGCTCCGTTATGGGGACGGGCGGCCAAGAGGCGGGGCGGAGGATTCCGTCCAGGATGTGTGGGGAGCAGGCTGCGATGGCATGGGAAACCTCAAGCCGGTGTTGCACCACGACCGAACGACCAAGACTTTGACGTTTGGCAGGAAATCTGGTGGGGGAGGTTCTGGGCCCACCGCCGGCGATCCGTGCTTCTTTGGGACGCCACGACGCGTACCAGAGAGTGCGATGCGGGATCACGAACGAATGTTGTGCTTCTCCTAGGAAACTGTAAATGTTGCTACATATCCTCGTCTCAACATGCCTTTAGAAAAGTATGCTCGGTCAAGATGCCCTACCCCGGTTTCAAAAGCCGACATGTCTCCGATGGGAGATGTTTGCATGCGTAGAATGACAGATGACAGTTAATGCGTTGCTGCGACCACAACGATTTCGTACTGGAACGAGCAATTGGGAATCATCGTGGCCAGAGTGTATGGAAGCGCATACGAGAAGGTTGGTGGTGTGGAACGAGCTGTCTGGCCAGACGCTACGTGGACGCCGAAAGCTGAGACTCAGCCTTCCGTGACAGCAACACGGAAGCGACATTGGCCGCGACCACGTACCAGACCGATGGAAGGGTATCTAAGATCGTGATGAGATGAACGTTAAGCTAGATGCGTATGACCAGACATGCCCAGGTGCGGAAGCTGAAGCTGGCGCTATTGGCTTCGTAGAGCACCTGGGCAGGTGCTCAGCCGCAAGCCACTCGTACGAGTACCTGAGGCCAAGTGACACGTGAGATGCCGATGACTGTCCGTGTGTAAAAAGGAAAGAAAG